CGGAGCGCGGGAACTGGCCCTGGAACGCGGCTCGGTCTCCGGGACGCAGTCGGGCCCCCTGGAACCTGGGGGATTCTGGAGGTGATTTTCAGACTTCCAGGCCGTCGTCCCGTCCAAGACGGATGCATCCCCTTATGCCCTCAAGAGGGTATTGTTAATGAGAAAAGATTACAGGCTGCGCCCCAAAACTTTGGGTTTTTTTGATAGGCATCTCAAGCCAAAAGGTGCCAAGATAAATTTTATTACCCAAATCTGCCCTGTCGGAATTCTGCTCCTTTTCTGTACTTATCCATCTCATTCAGGGCATCCGTACTCACACTCGTGAAAAATAAGCACATCCCAGTTGTCCTTATTCCTTTATTTCATCCAGTCAGTAAGTTCCCTGTGTCTACGTTTGAAATTACTTTCTGACCACTTGCTCACCAGTCTCACTGCTGTTACTTTATTTCTAGTCACCATTACCCTTCTCTAGGATTTTCCATAGCTTCCTTTTTGGTTTCCCTTATTATTTCCTTATATTCCAACATTGGTCTTAGGCTGACAGCGAAAGTGATTAAATTTGAAAACTAGTTTTTATTTTAATCAAAGCTATAATGCATATCCTTAAATGCAGTCAAGCATTTCTAAAAGGAAAATTAGCAGTTCCCAGTGGCCCCTTGTTCCTAATCATCCTTCCCGGAGGAAAGTGCTTTCCAGTTTTTCAGTTTGCTATTTTTGTTGTCTTTTTTCTGAGACAGGGCTTTTTTGTGTAGTTCCGGCTGGCTTTGAACTCATTGTATGGCTCAGGCAGTTTTTAAACTTTTGGGGACCCACCTCCTTCACCCTTCTGAGTGCTGAGATTACTAGTGGGTGCCACTACCTCTGGCTTGTTGAGGATTTTTTACATGTTTGTTTATTAGAGATACTAGTCTGTAGTTCTTTAATTTTCTTTCTTTTGGTATCAGGGATCGAACTCGAGACCTTGAGCTTGCAAGGCAGGTGGCGGAACCACTTAGCTAATTCCCTGGCCCTCTTTTAATGTCCTTTTATGGTTTTGTATCAAATAAAGAATGGTGGCCTCATAAAATGAGGAAACATAACAGTTTTTTTTGTTTGTTTTTTTAGGCAGGGTCTATGTAGTTCAGGCTGGCTTTGAACCCACTATGTAGCCCAAGCTGGCCTCAAACTTGGCGATCCTCCTGCTTCAGCCTCCCAAGTACTCGGATTACAGACGTGTTCCACTATGTTCCGTTTCATACTGTTTCTTCCAGGGTTATTTCTCCTTTTATGTTTGCTTTCCGCTTTTATTATGTTAATGTTTTCCCTTAATTTTGCTTATGCTTTGTTATTGGATTCTTTTTTTTTTTTTTTTTTCTGGTACTGGGGATCGAATTCGGGTCCTTTTGCTTGCCAGGCAGGTGGCACCACTGAGCTAAATCCCCAGCCCTGGTTCATATTTTTAAGCATGGAACTTTAAGGGTGTTTGGAATAGTTTCTCTGGTGTGAAAAACTGTATTTGTACATAAGATCCTAGTGGTATAATTGACAGTGTGAAATAGGAAGAAAAGGGCTAAAGTTGTAGGGGAAGGGGGAAGGGTAGGGGAAAGGAAATAAGGGAAAAGAAAAAAAAATGAGAAAATGGAAATAAAGTATTTGTAAATAGGGAAGGGAGGAGGGGGTGAAGGGAGGGAAGGGAGGAGGGGGTGAAGGGAGGGAAGGGTAAGGGAAAAAAAATGAGAACCAAGACCTGTCATGTAAAGGTACAAGATCCCAATAATGAATGTAACTGTACTATATACCTAAAATGTACCAATAAACTCAGTGAGAAAAAAAAAGAAAATGTTTGGAAGCCGAGTCTCTGGACACTAGCATCTGTAGGGATATTATTCTGCTTCTTACTGCCCTTTTTTCCCCTCATAGTATCTCCATGATCTTTATTTTTTTGTTTGTGTAATTAATAATTGAGCATCTTTTTTACAAGTTTAAGATCCAGAGCCAGGCACATCCTCTTTGAACTGTCAGCGGCATTTTCTCCCTTTCCCTTGTGTGTGTATATGTTACTGAGAAACCCAGGGCTTTCATATTGAGCTGCAATCCCAACATATTTTATTTTTGTTCTGTTTTTAGTTTTTTGAGACGTCTCACTGTGTAGTTCAGTGACATTAGAAGGACAAACAAGAATAATGAAATTAGCCTAACCCTAACCTTACTATTTTACTAAAAAATATTTCACTGGAACACATCAAGCATTAGATCTAATTTCCATTTACAGAAAATTCAAGGAACAAAGATAACTAAAATACCACCACCCTGAGGAGTAATCAGACCGATTTAGAAGACAGTGCGAGACATACTGCCTGACCGCCTCAGTAAATGAGTGCCACTGTAGAGAAGGGAGCGCTAGGTGGAGACAGCCTTAAGGGATGGAACAAGCAGTATGTACTAGACAGTGCACATCTAACTCACATGTCACACTAGCATATCCTCACTGTGATATGGACAAACAAGCTATGAACCATTCTTGGGTTCAGTGGGAAAATCTGAAACAGTCTGTATTTTAGATAAGATGACAATTTACGGAAATCACCAGGTAGAAATTGTTTGGTTTTTTTCTTTTTTTTGCTATCAGAATTGAACTCAGGACCTTGAGCTTGCGAGGCAGGCGGCGGAACCACTGAGCTAAGTTCCTGGCCCATTATTTTCCGAATTTTGACATGCCTGGTCCCCTATCTTTTTTTTAATCTCTGCTAGCATTTTTTCAGTTTTCAGATTTTTTTGTGGGTTCCCCCCCAAATTAAAAAAAAAAAAATCTTTTTGAGAACATTAATTAGAAAAGTTTTTTTCTTAAGTTTTTAGGTTTCTTTTCTCCCCTGCTTCCTGCCCTAATTCATTTTCTTCAGAGTTCCTTTCTAAGTCTTACCTTTGATGTTGGAGGCTTTCTTGTGTTTGGTGGCCCTTGCTTCATTTTAAGTACATTATGCAGAAGTTTCTGGCTTCTCGGCACTCGCTGTGTAACATCCTGCCCCACTTTTGGGTGCTGCCAACAAGAAGGATGTCACCAGATACTTCCCTTCAACTTTGGCCCAAAACTGTGAACCAAAATATCTTCTTTATTACCTTAAAAAAAAAGAAAAACTTGTAGATACAGCAATATCAAAACAGTACTATTTGTAATGGCCCCAGAGTGGAAACATCTTCAGTGCCCATCAGCAGTCGAATGTAAAAATAAATTATGGTAGAGATGTATAATGCAACACTGTTCAGGAAGGAAAATGATAAGTTGTAACTACTTGCTGCAATATAGGTGTCTCTCACAAGCATACTTTTGAGTATAAGAAGCTAGACACAAAAGTGCATAGTATGTAGGCTTCTGTTTGGTTAATGTTCAAGGCAGTGGTCATCTGTGGTGTAAAAAGTCATACAGAGGTTACCTGTGGAGGGGGGATGGTGGCAAGTGCCTGGAAAGGGAGTGTAGGCACCTTCTGGGATGCTGGTCATATTTTGTCCCTCAAACTGGGTCTAGAATTACTGTGTGTCACTTAACTAAAGCTGTGCGTTCTGTTTGTGTGATTTTTGGTATGAACACATCAAATAAAAGTTGAATCTCTTATTATGTAGGGTTGGTTTTTTACTGCTACCCACAGAATTTGGACATGCTGGGTATTCAGGCAGCCTCTTTGGGGGAACCCCTGAGTACCAGTGTCTGAGGGTCGGACATAGATGTGTTTGCTCTTTCTGCCATATTTAACTGGAAGTCTTCATTTTCTTTCTAAATCCTATTTATGGACAAGGCTAGGTATCTGTTTTGCAATACTGAGGATTTAACCCAAGCCCTTGCACCTGCTAGGACTGATATACATCCCCAGCCACTTTTTATTTTATTTTGAGACAAGGTCTTATTGCCCAGGCTGGCCTCAAATTTGTTACTGCCCTGTTTCAGCCTCCCAAGTAACTGGAATTATAGGTGTACACTACCATGTCTTAGGGACGGCCAAAATTATCTTTGGATTACTTTTGAAAGATACCCAAGATGAGACAGAAACATCATTTCTTCTTTGAGAAGTACACTAGTAGAGTTGGAATTTCCATTAATTTATTCAGTCATTCAGCAGATATTTACACATCAAGACAAGCAAGTCCATGTCCTCCTGGAGCGTGCATCTCAAATTGCAAGCATTATTATAAACAGGATGAGTTATAAGGGGGAAATAACTGCTATGAAAGACTAGGAGAGGAGAACATAGCATTGTTTGGGGGCAGGGAAGACTTCCCTAAGTAAATGGTTTTTTGGTTAGGGGAAGAATAAAGGAAAATATTCAACTTTTATCTTAGTGATAAATTTTGCTTGATGTGAAAATCTTTATTCTTATCTGTCTATTATGTGATTTCAGGTGGAGAGTATAGTGAAGATGATGTAAATGAATTAGTGAAGGAAGATGAAGTGGATGGTGAAGAACAGACACAGAAAACCAAAGGGAAAAAAAGAAAGGCTCAGAGCATTCCTGCCAGGTGATGCTGCCCTCAAGGCCCTTAGTAGTCAAGGGCTATTGTCACAACCTCCCCCAATACCTTCCCCTTTTTTTTGAGACAGACTTTTAGTTGCCTAGGCTGAGATTGAACTTGTGATCTTCCTGCTTCAGTCTCCCAGTGTTGAGATAACAAGTGTCCACCTCCACGCCTGACCTCAAGACTTTCTTAAATTTTTTGAGTCAAGGTCTTACTAAGTCACTTAGTTGCCAGGCTGGGATCAAACTTGTGATCCTCCTGCCTCAGCCTATAAGTGCTCAAATTACAGATGTGTGCCATTATGCCTAGCTTTATGGTAGTTTCTTTATTTAAAAAAAGGTGACCATTTGAAAAAGTAAAAGTTAAGAGTGAGGGAGAAACTGGCTCTGCGAAGTGAGTTTGGGCCAAGTACAAGAGAACAAAGCAAGATAAAAGTATACCCTGGAGGATACATGGTGAACTATCATGAGAAAAGCCAAAATAGCTGCTAGATTTCTTATTGACAGGATTTCCATTCCTTTTCTCTTTGAGGGAAACATTTAGTGATATTTTAGAATCAAATTCTTGGTCTCTGCAGCTTAAAAAATGTTTAGGTTTTGATTTTTTAAATTAATAGGTAAGCTTCATTAGTTTGGTTAAAACAAAAATATTAGTACTAAAAAGGAGCTGATGCTTTACTTGAAGAACTATGTTACCAGAGATATTCTGGGAATGTACAACATGTGTGCATATGTTTCCTATCCTCTTTATGGTTCTTTTTCTATCCTCTTTATTAAAAAAAAAATGCTGGCCCTCTTTATATACTGTTTTTCATTTTTCTTGTTTCCCATCTTGGAAGTGGTACCATGACAATACATTTAGACATATACCTCATTGTTTTCAGTCACTGCATTGTAGTATGGTATACGGATAGGCTTTATCTTATTTAAACATGTCCATACTGGGGAACATTTAGATTGTACCCAGTCTTTTTTCAGCAAATAAGCTGCAATGAATATTCTTTGTACAAGTCTTAATTACATAGACAAGAATATCTCTAGATCAAATTTGAGATGTAGAATTGTGTGAGCTAAGATTATGTGCAGTTAGGTTTTTTAGAATAACAAAAACTAGGAAAATTCTGATAGGGTATTCAGGCTGATTTTGAACTCACGATATACCCCAGGCTAGTCTTGAACTCCTGGCGATCCTCCTGCCTCAGCCTTCCAAGTGCTGGGATGACAGGCATGTGCCACCACACCTGGCAAGAAGGCATCTTCTAAGAAGTCATTTACCTTGCTAGTGTTTGTCTTTTTAGAGATTGGAGCAAATAGCAGATTGTAGTTTATGAAAAGGAAAAAGAATTTTAGATATTGGATGATTCACTGAAAGTCAAAATAGTATAAAAGGTGATTACTCTTAGAAGTCCTGGGCCTAGTTCTTTTGTCCACCACTTACTCTGTGTTCACTTTTCATTTCTTTAGAAAGTGGGATGAAACATTGATATATTTTTTTCTATGACAACTTCTTTAAGAAATAATGCACATAAATTTGAGTTTTTCACAGCAAAATTTGCAGCTTTAAAAGGTCAAAATAATCAGTGTATTTATGTCCTTAGAACACTAAGCAGAGTAATCCTGTGAGTGATAATATTTATTTTAGTGAAACTAGCTGGTCATGACTTAGAACACTGGTTTTTGATTCTAAATATTGGGGGAAATACTAATCATAAGATCCCAGTTCTACTTGAAACTAAAAAAAGCCTAGTTCTTTTTTTCTTCCACAAAATCTGTACCTCAGTTGTTCTCTTCATTATGTTTATTACCATAGTGGTTCCAGATTAAATATTTTTTTTTAAATTTAAGTGAGTTATTCTTGGAATTGAGGAAGGGGTAACATCATTTGCTTTGTCTGTCTTTTCTTTCCTTTTCTTGGTGACTGTTGGTGATCAGGAAGAGAAAACAGAGCGGCCTCTTGTTAGGAGAGGAAGAGGAGGACGTCAAGGCAGAATCTGGAGGAAGCAGCAGTGAGGAAGATGAGGTAGAAGAGCAGGAGAAGGGCACTGGGTCAGAGGATGCCCGGAAAAAGAAGGAGGATGAACTCTGGGCCAGCTTCCTCAATGACGTGGGGCCAAAATCAAAAGTGCCCACAACTACACAGGCGAAGGTAAGGGTAGAGATTAATGACATAAATACCTTCCAGAAATACTCTGCTTTCCTCACATAGTTTTTTCATCTAATTACTAAGATTTGAATCTTACAGGAAAAAGACTAAAGGCCTTTTGATAGTACCTTCTTTACTAAGTGAAATGTGAAGCATTCCTTACGTTAGGGAAATAAGCCTTTCTAATCAAATTTCCAGTAGGGTCTTTAACTGGTTTGAAATGAAGCATGTAAGGGCTGGGGATTGAGCTCCGTGGTTCCATCACCTGCCTCGCAAGCACAAGGACCCATGTGCGATCCCTCGTACCAAAATAACCAAAAAAACATTTAAGAATAGCTATAAACAGCATGTTTAGATGGTGCTTTTTTAGTTTGGTAAAACTGACTACATTTTTTGCTTTTTTTCGTAGATGGGAGAACAGGCTGAAGAGACAAGTTCAAGTAAATTATTGGTCAAAGCAGAAGAGCTAGAGAAATCTAAAGAAGCAGAAAAGGTTAAAATCACCAAGGTGTTTGATTTTGCTGGTGAAGAAGTGAGGTAAGAAAACCTGTATAAACATTGGCATTAGTTCTTTTAAAAATGAACCAGGTGTGGTGGCACAGCAGTAATCCCAGTTACTCAGGAGGCTGAGGCATGAGGATCACACATGTGAGGTCAGCCTGGGCAACTTGGTGAGACTTTGTCTCAAATTAAAAAGTAAAAACCACTGCAAGATGTAACTTAGTGGTAGAACGCCAATGCCTAGCATGCATGAAGTCATGGATTCAATTCCCAGAATTTCAAAAAAGAAAAGCAAGAGTGTCTTTCTTTTTTTTTTCTTTCTTTCTTTTTCTTTTTGAGACAGGGTCTCGCTTTGCAATGCAGGCTGACCTGGAACTCACTATGTAGCCCAAGGTGTCCTTGAATTCACGGGGATGCTCCTGCCTCAGCTTTCTGAGTGCTGGACCACAGGTGTGTACCGCCACGCCCAGCTCAGGCTCTGTTTCTATAAAAGAGTGATTATAGACCAGCGGTCATCTTCAAAAGCTCCTTTTGCAGAGCCTGCCATGTTATTAGGTGACATTCTCTTTGGCCAAGCCTGTTTTGGGTGCTTTATTTTCTGAGGGGAAAAAATACTATCATCCTCTTTTCACAGTGATGAAACTGAGGCTTGGGAAGGGCAACCTCTTGGCTTAGTCGCTAGGTAAGAATGTGATTGATTTGCCCCCTCCTGAAATGGTTCATCAGTATTAGCCTCTGTGCCAGGGCCTCTTACAGAGTGTCTTTCTAATAAGTCATTATTCCTTTTTTTAACTGTCCTTGACTATAAAATAGGAGCACTAATGAGACTCCTAAAATCAGGTAAAAAGAATTGAAAAGGCTAGGAGAGAAATTTGATTCTGGTGTTATTTCTTTACCTTAATATCATAGTTTAAATTGTTTTATGAGATTGGAAAAGAGTAGAGGCTTAGTATTTTGACCCAATTAGTTTAGTCTACTGGCTGTGTTAAGTAAAAGCAGTATGCCTGGCCAGGCATGGTGGCACATGCCTATCATCCCAGCACTGAGGAGGCTGAGGCAAGAGGATTGCCATGGGTCTGAGGCCAGCCTGGGCTACAGTGACTTGAAGCTTGGCTTGAACTATGTAGCGAGACCCTGTCTCAAAAAAACAAAACAAAAGAAAATGGTATGCATGAAATTTTCTCTCTTAGTAATTTATTATTTGAAAATAGCATATCATATGTGTTTGTTACTAGGACTTGAACCCCAGGACCTTCACATTGAGCTATATCCCCAATCATTGATTGATTGATTGATTCGTTCAGTCATTCATTTTTGTTTTGTTTTATTTTGTTTTGTTTTGAGACAGGGTCTCACTATATAGTTGAGAGTGACCTGGAACTCACTGTGTAGCCCAGGCTGGTCTCGAACTCACAGTAATCCTCCTGCCTCAGCTTCCTGAGTGCTGGGATTACAGGTGTGCGCCACCATTCCCTGACTAGTTTTTGTTTTTGAGATAGGGTCTTGCTATGTAGTTAGGGATGTCCTTGAACTCGTGGTCATTCTCCTGCTCAGCATCCTGAGTGCTGGGATTATAGGAATGTGGCACCATGTCCGGCTCAGTTTTCTTTTTTTCAGAAATAGCACTATGGATTGTAGGTGTAGCTCAATGGCAGAGAGCTTGACTATCATGCTTGAGGCCCTAGGTTTGATACCCAGCACAGCAAACAGACAAAAACCCTCATTATAAAGAAACCCATTGTGCTAGATACTCTGGTATACACTCTGGTATTGAGGTAGGCAGGAGGACTGCAAGTTGGAGGACAGTTGGGGAAATTTAGAGAGACTTTGTCTCAAACTAGAAAGGCTGGATCTGGGTATGATGGTGCATGCTTGTAATCCCAGCTCTCTGGGAGGCTGAGACAGGAGGATTACAAGTTTAAGGGAGACCTTATCTCAAAATTTAAAAAAGATAAAAATACTAAGGATATAGCTCAGTATGAAGGTCCTGTGTTCAATCCCTGTCCACCCTCACACCCCGAATATAAGAATGAATTTGATCACAAATTTAATAATTTCTTGTAACAACAGTTATTTACGAGTGTTCTCTACTCTGTGTAGGCCACTGCTACAGTTATTAGGACATCTTTCTTAGATAATTCTGCCTGATACATGGGAAATAATCCAAGCCAAGGCAGACTTCAGTGTGTGTCTTACAGTAGTGGGAATTGAACCCAGGGCCTGGCAATGCAAGACAAATGCTCTGCCACTCAGCTGCATCTCCAGGCCTTTCTGTTTTGAGAGTGGGTCTCACTAAATTCCTAGTCTGGCCTTGAGCTCATGGACCTCTTGCCTCAACCTCCCAAATAGCTAGAATTACAAGTTTGTAACATCGTATCTGGCCAAAAATGTTTAAACCTGCATTTCTAATGGCACATTAATACATTTTATTATTTTTAGAAGATTTCCAAACCATTGAAGTTTTGCTGTTAGTATACTGCTACGCTGTACTGGACAACTCTAGCTTCCAGTGTGATTTTTAGAGTCAGAATACATTATTCATCCACCTTATCATTCATTATTTAGTGGATCCCCAAGATGATTAAGACTATGGGAAAAGGTTCCTTACAATGAAGATTTCTTTTTTGTTTCTGTATAGCATTGGCGATTGAACCCAGGCTTGATGCTGGCTAAGTAAGCGCTCACCACTGAGTTACACTCCCCAGATCTACAGCAGAGAATTCTAACAAATACTGCCTCTTGTGGTCTAATTTACCACCAGTACAGGGCCCTCTGACGGATGAGAAGCATTACGAGGTAGTGGTGAGGCATTACAAGGATCTTGTCTGACATGGTGAATCTGAAATTAAACATGAGAAAACAACTTAACTCAGGGCTGTTCTGTGTTATAAATGGTGTAGACTCTTCAAAGATTAAATGCAGGGCCGGGCGTGGTGGTACATGGCTGTAATCCCACTCCGAAGGCAGAGGCAGGATTGCTGCAAGTTCAAGGCCAGCCTGGGCTACATAGTGAGTTCAGGGCCAACCTGAACTACAAAATGAGACCCTGACTCAAAAAAGAAAACAAAAGAAAAAAAAGAATTAAATGTAGCATTTAATCTTGGATTGGACCTTGGATTATGTAAGAAAAACAATTAAAAAGGACATCATTGGAATAACTAGGGAGAAATGTGAATAAAATGTAATAAAGTGCTGTTCAAAGTGTGGGCTACAAACTATCTTTTTGAAAAAAATGTGAAAAAAAAAATACCACCTGTTACTGGTCCAAGATAAGTATAGAAACTAAGTACTTACAAACTTGTGTACCAGTTTGACAATGTCACCATATTCAAGATGTCATCAGGATCACTGCATTAAATACAGTATAGACAATTTCAGTTAGTATCAAATTTTCACAGTGAGTCATGTGATATAAACTGTTAGTCATCTGCATTAAGACTACATTTCAGAGCCTGGGGTCATGACACATGCCTGTAATCTCAGCACTCAGGAGGCTGAGGTAGGAGGATCACCACAAGTTTAAGGCCAATCTGGGCTACGTAGCAAGTTCAAGGCAAGTCTGGACTATGTAGTGAGACTGTCTCAGAAAAAAAAATTACAGTATATTTTAGGGTTATTTTGTCAGCTAAAGTGCCAATGTTGTTTTGTTTAAGATGTTATTTTTACAATTAGTTTTGTTAATCAAATGAGATTTTTTTTTAATACTTTTGTGAGTGTGTGTGTGTGTGTGTGTGTGTGTATGTGTGTATCTTTTTTTTTTTACTGGGAATTGAACTCAGGGCCTCATGCTTGCCAGGCAGGCACTGTGCCACTGTACTACATCCCCAATCTTATACAGTATTTACAATATAATAATTTAATAAGTAGTCAGGCATGGTGGCACATTTCTATAATCCCAGCACTTGGGGAAGCTGAGGTAGGAGGACCAGTGTGAGTTCAAGGGAAGCCTGGACTACATAACAACACCCTTTCTCAACCCCCCCAAAAGCAAAAAAGTGAGTTAAAGTAAAAGATTGTTTGTTTTCTTTGTAGTACTGGAGATTGAGCCCAGGGTGTTGTGCATGTTATGCTAGTGGTGCTCTACAAGTGAACTACATTTCCTCACTGGATGTTTCTGTAAAGAAAACACATATTTTCTGAATGTAGCCACAGTGGTACCCACATACTAGTAACAAATAATTCCAAAAACTGAAGACTGATGTTAGACTGGTTTGACTTCATATAGTTTGGTTTTTGATCATGCGGTGCTAAAACTACAGTGTGTTCCTTACAGAGATATTTTGGCAAGTGAAGCAATGGATCCATCAAACTTCAGTGGTATTTAAGTATAGAACAAAAAGAGATTTTGTTTTAATCCTGGCACTCAGTAGGCTGAGGCAGGAGGATTGCGACGAGTCAGAGGCCAGCCTGGACTAAAATAGTGAGTTCAAAGCCAGCCTAAATTATAGAGTAAGACCCTGTCTCAAAAAACAAAACAAGAAAAAAAAAAAAAAAACAAGAACATAAAGGGGCTGGGGATTTAGCTCAGTGGTGCTGTGCCTACCTCCCACCTACAAGGTTCTGTGTTTGATCCCCAGTACCAAGGGAAAAAAAAAACTTAAAGAAATAAGTTCAGAAACAGGAATTTAGCTCCCTGTTGCTTCCGCCTGCCTTAGAAATGCAAAGACCTGAGTTTGATCCCTAGTACCAAAAAGGGAAAGAAATAAGTTCAAAATCAAAAGTATTTTTGGTGGGGGCAGTACTGGGGACTGTATCCAGGTCCTTCACTTGCTTGGCAAGCACTCTACTACTGAGCTTTATCCCCAGCTCCAAGAAACTTCTTTGAAAGAAGCAGATACAGATTCCTATACTGTATTTTATTTTATTTATTTTTGGTACCAGGGATCGAACTTGGGACCTTGCGCTTGTGAGGCAGGTGCCTGCACCACTGAGCTAAATCCCTGGCCCCCTATACTGTATTTTAACAGTAGTATATTTGTGGCCTTCTGAGAAATGAAGTTGATAAAAGTTACATTCTTTTGAAAAAGAGGCCCATG